AAGACTAAAAGATTAGCCGAAACATAGTACAAATAATGATATAAATATGATATAAAATTATTTTAAAGAAACAAAACCCATACAGAACATTGGAAGAATGTTGCTGAAATGTTGCAATGTTGAATGTTGAAGTGTCAATGTCTTATCGATGTTATATCTATATTAATTCTTTTACATTGATTGTTAATGTTGCTGCAACGTTGAAATAATATTAAATTGAACCACAAGTTAAATTTTTATTGATTTTTTTCATATTGATTAATGTTGCTGCAATGTTGAAATAACATTGAAGAAATTATATATCGAAACTTATTAGGTGTACAACTTTGCTTCCGCCGTTTTTTTCCGAAATTCGAGACTTTATTGTAAAAAACTGATTATATATTTATGATTAAAAAGTATTGTCCATCGCTGGCCACTACTTTCTCCCATCTTTCGGGCATACGAATCCCGCGACGACGAGTGGGGTAGGACTTCCCATTTCAACGTTTCCAAGTATATCTTGATCACTTTCGCAACATGGGATCGAGCATTGTCATGCTGCAAAATCACTTTATCATGTCTCTCATTGTATTGCGGCCGTTTGTCTTTCAATGCTCGGCTCAAACGCATCAATTGCGTTCGATACTGGTCGCCTGTGATTGTTTCAGTCGGTTTTAATAGCTCATAATACACTACGCCGAGTTGGTCCCACCAAATACAGAGCATGACCTTGGAGCCGTGAATATTCGGTTTGGCCGTCGACGTGGAAGCATAGCCAGGAATTCCCCATAATTTTCTGCGCTTGGAGTAATGAACCCATTTTTCGTTCCCAGTCACAATGCAATGCAGAAATCCCTTCCGTCTTTGCCTTTCAAGCAGCAGTTCACAACCAAACAAACGCCGTTCAACATCTCTCGACTTCAATTCGTACGGAACCCAATTTCCTTGCTTCTGAATCATTCCCATGACTTTGAGGCGTTGTGAAATGGCTTGTTGACAGTCACTCTCAATGATCGTGCCAATTCTTCTTGATTTTGACACGAGTTTTGATCAAGTAATGCCTCCAATTCTGCATCTTCTCTCTTCCACCGCTATGCCGATCTTCGACGTCAAATCCGTTCTTGAAGCGTTGAAACCACTCACGACACGTTCTTTCACTAATAGCGGCCTCACCATAAGTATTTGAGAGCATTCGATGAGCCTCAGCCGCAGATTTCTTCATATTGAAGCAGAAAATTAAAACTTTCCGCAAATGACGAGAATTTGGTTCGTAAACTGACATTTTCAATCGAGAATAACTTTATGATGCAGACACAAATCGACTAATGTTTC